CCTCCTCTCCTACTGTCCCCAGTGGTCCCCTGTCCCTTCCTCTGGAAGCACAGAGCATTGGGTGGTGAGGGGGATGTGTGGGTGGGTTGCGTAAAGCGCTCAGCCCCTGTGGAAGTCACCAGGAAGACCTCCATGAGAAGAAGCCGCCGGCGCATGTCTTGCCGGCCTCCCACGCTAGACATGTATGTGGCTTTGAGGGAAACCTCTTATCTCCTAGATGGTGGTGGATGGAAAAGTTTTTTGCCTTTTCCACAGTTCTTTTTTTTAAAATAGCTTCCCTGTGAATTATTTCCAAAAGCCCTGTTCCCCAGTCCCTGTCCCTTCTTTCTCAACCCAACCCCGCCCTCTGACCGTGGACCCGAAACTGCTGCCTCACCCTCAGACTTTTCAGCAGCCTGGTGCGCAGGCCTCTGGCGTGACCTAGACCATCTGTGTCAAAGGGGCCGTGGCTGAGCCCTGGGGCCGTGGGGGAGGTGGCCTGGCCCACCCTCGCTCCTCCACACGTCCCCTCGGTTCCTGCCCCTTTCGTTAGGGAACAGCACATTCATGGACTGCTTCTCTGGTTTGCAGGAGGAAATTCCCCGCCAGCTCCAGTACATTTGTCTGTACCTGGTCCACATAGCCGGAGCGTACCTCCTGAAGTGAGTGAGACCCACATCTCTTCACTCTCTGTCCATGCATCTCCCCAGACATTCATTCAATTAGCAGGCATTTATTAGACTCCTTCTGTGTGCCGAGCACCAGGCTGAGACCTGGGAATACACAGGTGGCTGATAGAGAATTCCTTTATCTTCAGTGGGTCATTCTCAGTCTAGTACAGCGGTTCTCAACCTGTGGGTCGCGACCCTTTTGGGGGTCGAACAACCCTTTCACAGGGGTCGCCGGGAACTCGGATGTGGGCGTATCTGCATGTGGGCCTGGAGACGGACAGAGGAGCGGTGTCTCGGTTCCTAAGACCATCGAAAATATGTGTTTTCTGCTGGTCTTAGGTGACCCCTGTGAGAGGTTGAGAAGCGCTGGTCTAGCAGGAGAAACAGTTAGAGATGTAGTAGGAGGACCGTGTAGAGTGATAAGCTCTATACTATGACCTGTGTCATCTGCCAGGGGGACCCAGAAGAGTGACTGCCTCAACCCGAGACGGCCAGGGAAGGCTTCTGAGGGATGTTGGCACTTGGTCTGTGGCTTTGCAGGTGGAAGGCGCCCTGAAGCTGGGCTCCTCCCTCAGGCGACCAGCTCAAGCTGTCAGAGCTCACAGCCCTGGGACCCCCTTTCCTTTGACTTGTAATGAATGGTAGAGTAGTTCCTGCTTGGTTGTTCCGAATTCGAAAAACGTGCTATGGTGTTTGGCCTAGAGTGTCTTCTTTTATGAAAAGATGCACATTGATGAATAGGACATGTCATCTCTATTTTGGGTTTTTCTTGAGCGTTATCAGTGCAGTATAGGAGAACACCCTGTGCTTTTTCTAGGCCGGCCTTTGGAGAACGTGTGATGGGTGACTTTCTGCTAAGGAGCCTGGAGGTCTTGGGGCCTCATAGCAGGCATCCTGTGACAATGATGGACTCGGGGTAATGGAGACAGGAGGAAGGCAGCTCTCAAATCTGCTCTCCTGTCCTTGGAGGCCTAGAACCATGTCGATTCCTGCAGGGCCCTTAAGGGGGGAAGGCTGTGTGGTGGTGCCAGCTCTGCTGTAGTCTTGGATGCTCATGTGTCACGTGTGGAAGGGCTCTGAGGGAGCTCGTCTGCGCCGTCACCCCAGCAGTGTGATCGGGCAGGACCATGTAGAAGGAGAGCTTACTGCTGCTGTTGGTTCCCTGCCGTATCACCACTTCTTCCTCCCAAAGATGTGAGATGTTCCAAGTTCCGTCTTTCTCCACATCTGACACGTCCCAGAGAAAGAGAAGGGCAGGTGTCTGATCCTGTTTGGGCTGAGTCCTGTGAATTCTTATTTTGGAATGAGACTAGGACTCAGAGGGCTGGGAGCGGCAGATCTGCCAAAAATCACAGCCGTCCCGTTCCTAGTGAGTCTGGCACCGTGTCAAGGGGCAGTCGCCTCTCCGTGCTCATTTAGGGAGCGTGACCTCCTTTCCCCTCCGTTCTTGTTCCAGTTTTCAGAGATGAGTGTGGGGGAAAGGAGAAGCCCTTGGCTGCAGGATTCCCCAAGGAAGACAGACTTTTGGAAGGCCGAATGATGTGAGCTCTCATTTTGGTGAAGAGCTTGGCTTTCGGAGGCCTTCACTCACTCAACACAGACTGGGCCCGCCCACGGGGCCCAGCGCTGCGTTAGGAGCTGCAGTTACATCTGGGCAAAGGCAGACAGGCCTTGCTTTCCTGGGGTGGCTGCTCTCACGGGAGGCAGACCACAAACAAGGAAATAAGTAAGTGGTGGGAAGTGCAGCGAAGAAAATAAAGCAGGGCAGTGGAACGGAATGACTTGTGTACTTGGCGCCTTTGCTGTGGTGAGGGAAGGCCTCTCTGAGGAGGTGACTCAGGCTGAGGCATAAGTGACAAGAGCCAGGTACGTGGAGGTCTTTGAGGCAGAGGGAACAGCAGGTGCAAAGCCCCGAGGTGGGAGTGGCCATACAGCCCAGTGTGGCTGGAGTACACAAGTGAGGTTTGGATGAGGTCATGGGCAAGACCGAGTTGGACTTTCCAGGCCATGTGAAGACATCGGGTAGTTGGCATGTCCTTCTGTTGACCTTTCTCAGGATCCAGTGACCATCCTGATGGATTCTGCACTTCTTTGGTCTCACTGGGTGGAATTGGCCGGATCCTTGTCTATCACGGCCGTGGGAGTGTTCCCACATCACCACAGTGACCCTGAAGCCCTGCGTGCTCAGCGGGATCTGTAATTTCATTTTGCATTTGTTTGAACGACAGCTGACCATCTGCCTAAGAAAGTCAGTAACAACATCATGCCTGGAATTGAGCAGAGGGGCATGTCTGAGTGGGTGCTGATATTTTAAGAGGCCAGTTCCCTAGCACAGGCTTTTGTGTTATGTTGAGTGTTGCTTCACGTACCTCTTAGCTGTGAAGACTTGGATAATGAGAACAGTCAGACTGTGGGAAGCCCTCACCTTTCTACCTGCAAAGCTTAGCCACTTGTTCTGAGCACCTTTTATGGGCTTGGTCTCTGGCCAGGTGACAAGTGCTGTGAAGAGATCACCCTGAGGCTGTCAGGGTCACTGTGGGAGCTGGTAAGGGTGCCTGACCCAGGCAGGATAGGCAGAAGGCCAGAGGGGTCAATACTAGGAAAAATTCTTAAAGGTGTGACAGCAGAACTGAATCCGAAAGGATGAGGTAGGGCCAGCCAGGGAAGGTGGAGGAAGTAAAGTGGAGAGCAGAGCTTGGGGCGTTGGGCCCCTGGCCTCTGCTGTCTGTGGCCTCGTGGGGGGACTGAGGCTCGTCTGTTTCTCCCCAGCCTGAGCCGCCTCGGCCTCATCTTGCTGCTGCTGCAGTACTCGACCGAGTTCCTCTTCCACATGGCCCGACTCTTCTACTTTGCAGATGAGAACAACGAGAAGCTGTAAGTGGCGAGGCTGGGCATCTGGCCTGCTCAGAGGTGAAGTGGGCAGGGCCGCCTCTGAGGCCTGGCTGATGGGAGGGTCCTGCCCTGGGTGCCCACTGCCCCTTTACCTGCAGGCAGCACCCCGAGGTTCTTTTTAGTGGGTTTTTTTTCCCCGTGGGGTATCTTATCCTAGCTATCTCATCCCTCAAGCACCCTACTCAGCCACTCATGAACCTTCTACCCACCTGGGGTCACTTCTGGAGAAGGGGGTGAAGGCTCCCTCCTGCATGGGCCCTAAAGGCTGACGTCCCTTTTCTGCCTCCACGAGCAGGTTTAATGCCTGGGCTGCTGTATTTGGGGTCACCCGCCTCTTCATCCTCACCCTTGCCGTGCTGGCCATTGGCTTTGGACTTGCTCGCATGGAAAACCAGGCTTTTGACCCCGAGAAAGGGAACTTCAACACCTTATTTTGCAGGTGAGTTGGGCAGAAGCCCAAGGGGGTCAACCAGGGCTCTCTGAGCGCGGCCGAGAGCCTCCTGAACTTGGCACATTTCTGCAGAAGGTCAGGAGGCAGCAGACCCCTGAGTCTCCCATGTAGGGATGGTTAGCTAGAAACCTCTAGACATTAGGCCTGAGGGGAGAAGAGACTCCAGCCTCCTGCTTCTATCAAAACCGTCTTCACTTCGCAGCCCTCGCCTGCTCAGACTAGTCAGGCCTCAGGCCACATGGGAGTCCCCTCACCTTTGCCCAGCACTTCAGGGTGCACAGTGGGTCTCACACCCAGCCCCTCAGTGATCGTTACAGCCACGCTTGGACTCTTTACAGCTTGGCCAGCGGCCTCCCACAGCAGTGAGGAAGCCACTGCGTTTCCATGAGACTCTCGGCCCTGGAAGGTTGTCTGATTTGTCTAGGGTTGCTCAGCTTTTTCAGTGACATGCCGGATGAGAGGCCACTCTAGAGCTATTTCTGCTATATCATAAATCAGTTCACTTGAATTCTTCCAGCATATGTGGAGCTGACATGAGCCGTGTTCAGTGGTGTGGGTACAAAAGGGACACACCATGGGTCCCATTCCAGGCATCGGGGCATTATGACTATGGAACTGGACATGCGCCTGTCACTGCCACCTTCCTGGGCTCCCTAGCCCTCACCATCTGTCCATCACCAGCCCTGAGGCGTGCTAGAGCAATGGCTGGCACTGAGCCCTGTGCTCTTCCTGGTGGTGTGGGAGGGGGGCGTGCCGGGGCCCAGGGTGATGGGCCATGGGAGCAGCTGGGCTCCTGACCTCCTCTCCGCCCCTGCCCTGGGCGTGCGGGCCGGAGCCTTGCTGAGGACCCCTGCGCTACCCCTTTGCAGGCTCTGCATGCTGCTGCTGGTGTGCGCTGCCCAGGCCTGGCTCATGTGGCGCTTCATCCACTCCCAGCTGCGGCACTGGCGGGAATACTGGAATGAGCAGAGCGCCAAGCGGCGAGTCCCACCTGCCCCCAGACTACCAGCCAGGCTCATCAAGAGGGAATCTGGTGAGCGCCAGGGCAGGCAGGGGTGACTTCTGAGCGGGGTGGGTGGGAAGGAGCCAGGGTCCGGCTCCTTGGGCTCTACCCAGACCCATCCTGCAGCCCTGCGTCTGGACTCCTTCTCCTGGGCCTGGGGCTCCTTGGTTCCTGCCAGGGCCTGACTGGCACGTGGCTGGGTGTGGGCCAAGGACAGGCTGTGGGTGGGGAGCCCTTCTGGCAATGGTGGGGTAGGGCAGTGGCTGGGTGGAGAGCTCTGGCAGGAAGTGTGTCCTCAGGGTGGCTTCTGGGCCCCAGCCAAGTTCTGTGCCTGCTCTCTGGGCGGCACGGCCACTCTGTCCTCACCTGCCCTCTGCTCTATATCTTGGCCTGCCTCTGCCTCCTGGGCTGCTGGCTCCTCTTCTGCCTTCAAGAATGACTCAAGATGACACAGTGCTAGGTGGGCAGCAGGGGTGGAACACCCACTTCTCCTTGGCCCCTGCCACACTCCAGTAACCACCTGCCCCCCTCTGGGTCCCGGGGCCCTGCCAGCCCTGCACTTTCTGTCCAGCCTGGGGGCCCGTCTGCACTAGAATCTATTTTCTGACTCTCCTGCCTCTCTCCAGGTGTGGCCTGCTTGGCAAGGGCTCATGTGTGCTAGAACCAGACACGTGCATGGCTGGGTGTGACGCAGTCAGGCCTAGCATGGGTGGGTATGGGGTGTGAGGCTTTGACTTGGCGCAAGCACATGGATGTGTTTTTGACAACAATAGATTTTTTTTTTTTCTGCCAGAGGAGTGCCAGGCATCTGAGTAAAGCCTTGTCCCTACAGCCTCTCTCCCTCCTCCCTTCTGTCCTCACCTTCCTGGGAGTTATTGCTGAAATGGGCAGGTGCCCTGCAGGGGGCCTGAGAGACACTGAAGCCATTGGCAGCGGCTGAGTGATTTCAGCGAGGATCTGGCCCCAGCCTCAGGCCTGGGCAGGCAGGCCTCTGCCTGCTCCTGGGTTACTGTGTGTCATCCCAGTGCCCTCCTGCTAAAAGATAGTCAGAGACCAACCACTGCAAGCGGAGCCACTGGTAGCAAGACCCTGTGGAAAGCAGAAGCCTCCAGGAGCGGTCTGCTGGTTTCCATTTGCTGTGGGAAGCTGCAGCCCGGGGTCCCCTCGGCTTGCCTGTGTGCAGCAGCCAGGCTGCCTGGGCCCCCACTTCCCTCGCCTGCTCCCCTACCAGGAGAAACACCATGTCTGTCTCCCTTCACTTCCTAGGTTACCATGAAAATGGAGTGGTGAAAGCAGAGAATGGAACCTCCCCACGGACTAAGAAACTCAAGTCTCCTTAAGGCCAAAGTGCTGAGAACAGAAATCCTCTTGTGGGGGCCGCGGGGCACAGGGGAACCCAGGCTTCTGTCACTGCCTCCCCCTTCCTGCTCGTGACGCGCCACCTCAAACAGCAGGAACCTGTCTTTAAACGGGGCTTTTCCCTTCTTACTTCTTGGCTTTCTCTTCTTCTTCTTGTTCTTGTTCTTGTTCTTCTTCTTCCATAAACCATGCTCAATAAAACCAAAAATCTTCCTCTTTCTCTCCCTCAAGCCACCTCATGTCCTCACCTCTGTCCTGTGTTGGGTTTTCTAGAAGCACAGGTTCTCGTGGTTATCTTTCTGCTGGCCTCTTCATTTCTCTTCCTTCACGACTGCTTCTTTCTCTTTTTACTTCTTTTACCATATTGTGCAATTTTTCTGTGTCTTGATTTTTACAATGAGAGGGAGCTAAGATTGCGGTCCTGGCCATCTGGCACCCAGGGTCCGTCCCCAGGACCTGTCAAAGTCTAGAAGCCTCGTTCGTGCCCAGGAGCCTCCGCCTGGGGCCAGGAGCAGGTCCCCCTGGGGAGCCCCGTGTGGATGAGCAGGAGGAGGAGACCGGCCCTCTCGGATCATCATCTCCTAGGTGCTGATTAACTGACGAGATGTATGATTCCAGTTCTGCACGCCCCATCTCAAGGCCCTGCAGTGCCACTGCTAGTTGTAAATGCCAAGGCACTTGGCTTTGGGACCTGACGACTCGGTCCAGAACAACGGTGTCAAGTGTGTTGGGCGCCGTGACTCGAGACAGCCTGCCAGTGGCTGGTCCTGGATTGGAAACCAGCCTTCCCTCACTCTGCTGGGGAAGTGCTGAAGGAGGAACTAGGCACCTCACTCTCTCGGGCAAGAGCTAAGCGTACTGAGCAGCAGGCTGTTCTGGAGAGGTAACAGCGGCAGACATGATGGAGGAGTTGACCCAGGCCTTTCTTCAGCAGCCCCTGCTGCACTTGCTTTTTTTTCAACCGTTCACCAGCATTCAAAACCAAATCCGACAGCAGTGACCAGATCAGTGGGCATACATACGCTGGTCTAAACCCCAGACCCGGGCAGGCAGCCCTGTGAGGGGCTAGCCCTGCTGCCTGACCTCATCCTTCAAGCTGCAGGAACACCAAGCCCCCGCTGTCGCCTGCGGCCCCAGGGAGGGTCACCTGGGCCACTCTCTCTGGC